CCCCCCCCCCCAATAAACCCACGCCTGTAGTCATGCGAACTCCCCTTATGCCTTACAGTTATTCTTGTCCTGTTTATTCCCCTCCCACAGCCTCTCTCCTTCCCGTCAAAAACCAACTACAACATCCAGCTCCCATATACTGCAGCTACCCAATCGCAGCCATTTCTCAGCCCTTCCGCTTTGTTTCTTGCTACTCGTGGCCAAACTAACCCCCTCCAACTGCGCCACGATTTCCTCTCCCATCAGCTCAAGCTGTCGTCCTTATCCTAGGGTGTCAATTTATGTATGTCTTTTATTTCTTGTTTGCAAGCGTTTTGGTTGTAACCGTTTTGCATTTCAGAAATAAAAATTTACATTTCTATTGTGGTTTTGTTTTCTCCAGTATAATTTGATATCATTGCTAGTCCAACAGTAATCCTATCGTAGAGTTTTCCAACATATGCCCTTCCCAAGCCACCCTTACAATTTTTTTTCTTTCCTATTTCCAACCATAGCCAAAACTTTGACCTAACCTTCAATTACTCTTGTTGATTTTCAAAATCAGCAACCCTAAATTTAATTTTTAGCTCTCACTCCTCTCGCAACACTAAACCTTAGCCATGCCACGATTGAGAAACACATTCGAGTCTTCTCGGGAGGACATACGGCGAGAGATCCGCCGACTTCTGCGATGGATTATAGACATGGGAGATGAAATCCAATGGGAGGCTACCCTTGACCGTGATTCAAAAGGTCAAAAAGGGAACGAGAAGATATGAAGATGAAGTGAAAAACACAGCGTCAGTCCTAACAACTTACTACAGCCAAAAGTTGCAGGCCCTAGCTTTCAAAGTAGAGAGACCGCAACATCAAAAAACTCCCCTAACGATTATCCATCGAAACCAATATGCAAGTTTGTCATAGCCAAAAAAAGTTGCAAGTTTCACAGACTTGGACAAGTTGAAGCAAAATGCATAACCAGAGTAGTGATCTACTTCACCGAGCAGGGCATCATCGAAAAGTTGAGTAAAGACACTACATGCACTGAAGACGGTGAGGAAATAAATGAAAAGAACTCTTCCAGTTGAGGAGGACAAGATACACTCAGTCCCAGCTAAACTCATGGAAGAGACTCCAACCGACTTTATTGTAAGTGGCCAAAGCAGTTGCGAGTCTTAGGAGCTGACATCAAACACAGGGTCCCCACAGACAAGAGCAAGGCTGACATTGCATATCTATAGACCCCCTCCTGACTTGCCCCTATGGCGAGAGGTCCAACATGTCCAAAGAGGAGTCATTATGTCCCATGCCTAGACCATTAAAGTGCGTAGTTCAGATGGTAGAGCCAGCTCAGCAGGGCACCCATCAAAAGATTTCCAGACAGGTGGGTTGAACCTCAACTCTGAAATTTGCCCGAGGAGCCTAAGGGGGATGAAAATTTCTCGATGGGATTCAACTATTGTCATTGAAGATGTCTCTCCTAAGTGACCGCTAGTAAAAGTGGCACAGCCTGCCACAGATTTCATCCCAGAATTGAGTTCACACATATTTGTTACTCAACCACCGCATACAGGGCAAAAAAAATGGAAGGAGAAGATTTCAAATGTAAAGGCTCGAGAGTTACACTGCAGGACCTCACCTCTATATGCAACTCCCACTCGGGATATGTCAAAAGAGGATGGCAACTTGTTCTACCAGAATGTGTTGTGGAATGACAGCACCGGCATGATCGGCCTACCAGGGGACGTAATGTTGATCCAGACGCATCGACGAATGAGGTCGATGCTCACCAAACCCCGAGAGAATGACACAAGAGTTTTTCTTCAAAAGTTGAGCCGGCTTGGCCCGAACCGGTTCAATTGAGAGAGGGGGTTGCTCCCTCCCCCTCTTCATTAGGAAGGAATTGTCCCCCCTTCTGTTTTCATAGCCCGATTATTCATCTTCCATTTATATGTGTTTTTATGCCTTAGGGTTTAGCTTATGTTATTTTCTAATTTCAGTTTGCGAGGAAAGTCGCTGACGTCCTGCTTTCCCCTTGAGATTTGTATCTGACTATTAGGGTGGTGCTCCGGTCGCATTCCTCTCCCAAGGTGGTAATTACGCCAGACTCCCCTTGCCCCATAGTCATTCCGTTGTCACCACCATTC